CAATTATGTGAAAAAATCGATGGATTCCAAAGTTGTAAACTGTTCAATTGTTCAACAGTGAGATTGTTAGAACCAAACCGATTGGATGCTCGGGTCACCAATTTTTCAGTTCAACCACCTGGCCAGTCCAAATTTTATAACACTACTTTTTTACGGCATCTCTATACATGACTTTCTTTTCCGTTATTAATGGCAATTGAGTCTTCATGCTTTGATCCTTGTACCTACGTGGACGATTCTCTGAAATTTAAGATCGATATCTATTTCCACTTGTTATTGTTAGTCCAAGAATAACTAACCAAGAGTGGAGGTGAATTGATTTTTAAAACTTTTTCGAATAATTAACTAAAATCACGTAAGTTAAAAACACGTTGATAAATTAATAAACTTAAGCAAGTTCAAGTAGTGGTAGCAATCGTGGGTTCATCCAAAAATTTTATTTTTTTTTTAAAAAGGCATATCTTATTAATATAAAAAAAATTACCCGAGCCGCACACGAGCTCGTGGGCCGAGCCCAGCTCGAGTATTTGTAACGAGCCGAGCTCGTGGGAAGAGAGGATGCAAACGATATATTTATGGAGGTTCAATCCCAAACTTAATCTCGTCCCCCGTTACTAAGCTCTCCGGCACGAACAAGGCATTTTCCGCTATCGTTATTGACTTATGGTGCAATCCAATATTTTCCACTATCATGATTTACGACCCATACCGGACGTCAGCTACATACCGGACGATCAACTAGCCGTTACGTCAGAAAATCAAAACGCTAGAATTTTTTACCGTTGGAGCTAAAACTGCCATACCAGACGTCCGGTATGACGTACTGGACGTCCGGTACGATAGTTTTACGCCGAAACGTTTTCGTTTTAATTTTTAACAAATGTAAGTGCTTGAAGGACGTTTTTAAAATATTTTTTAAAGTAAGTGACACTTTTCAAATATAAGTTTTGAGATTTTACCTTTTGAAAAAAATCTTTATGCAAACATTTTTGTATCATGATTTTTTCTATCGTAAAATCAAAACTTGAGCTCGTCTCGATTCATTGCCTAGTATTAAAATGTTCTACCTTTACATATGATTGTACAATGTCTATCATCTTGACTTTGTCGTTCTTTTGACTTGTATCTTGATTTGCGTCTTTTGCGAATCTTTAAATTCCAATTCGATCGTCGCATGCAAATTGCTATTGTCTCAAATGATTTGACTTGAATGCTTAACTTTCATTTTATTCTTCATTTCAAGTCCGATTTATAATCTTGATAGCTTTGAAGGCTAAATTACTCAAATTCAATTGTTAGTAAATAAAATTGGCTTGCTTGTTATAATCAAAACATTAAGGTTATAATCAACCATATGTCAACAGTTATTGGAAGCCTCTCGTTTCATATTGCATAAGCTCCTCGTAAATTGCGGCATCCATGGATGCCAAAATAGTAGGTGTGTTAGGGTTCATTATAATCTCCTAGTGAGAGGAGTACAGGGTTACACGAAATGTGTATCCTACTATATTAAAAAAGTAACTTCTTAGTCTAATGTAGAGGCAATAGCATCAATGAGATGTTACTATTCATTTTTTCAATTTTTACTCATTCAATCCTCCAGTTTTATCCGGTATGTTATTTGCGTATACGATATGTTCATTGCATATACGGTATGTTAGTTGCATATCCGATAAGTTGCATATACGATATGTTATATGTTATTTGCATATCCGGTATATTATTTGCATATACGGTATGTGGAGAATTATTTTTTTAACGATTCTATCTTTACTATAACTTAATAATTTCAATAATACCTTATTTTTCATTTTTCAATATACATTTAATTATTTTAGTAACAAACTACTTTTCGTTTTTCAATATGTATTTAATTTATTAATCATTTGAGCAATTTTAAAAATATTATCATTAGTTATTTTGTCAATTATTTAGTTATGATGAATGTACATTTGACATGTCATTTTTCAATATGTACTTGATTTATTTAATTATTTGACAATATTATCATGAATTATGTTGTCAATTATTTAGTTATGTTCAATGTATATTTGACAAATTCATTCTACTTGATTTAATAGTAAATTCAATTCATTGAAAAACTTTTCTGATAAGTTACATATACGGTATGTTGCATATCCGGTACAGTATGTAAGTTACAAATACGATAAGTTGTATATCCAGTATATGTTGTAAATACGGTATTTGTTAAACTTACCGAGAGTGGAGAATTATTTTTTGAACGATTCTATTTTTATTATAATTCAATAATTTCAATAATACATTACTTTTCATTTTTCAGTATATATTAATTATTTCAATAATACACGACTTTTCGTTTTCAATATGTATTTAATTTATTAATCATTTAAGCAATTTGAACAATATTATCATTAGTTATTTTGTCAATTATTTAATTGTAATCAATGTACATTTGACACGTCATTTTTCAATATATATTTGATTTATTTAATTATTTGAACAATATTATCATGAATTACGTTGTCAATTATTTAGTTATGATCAATGTACATTTGACAAATTCATTCTACTTGATTAAATAGTAAATTAAATTCACTGAACAACTTTTTCGATAAATTGCATATCCGGTACGGTATGTTAGATGGAGTATTAGCGAGACAATAATATGCTCCCAAGACTCTTAAATAATCCAATAAATCTTAAACTACTTTTTTTTTTTTTTTTTCAATATCTACAATTTCTACTCTAATAAAAATACGACAGACAAAATTTGTGCAATGCACGTGTCAACGACTAGTAGATAATAAATAGGAGAAGTTGTGAATGTGATTAAATTTAAAGTTTGGTTTGATTTAAAATTATTAGTAATTTATAATGAAAAAATAACACTAGCATTTGTGATGTGAATATCTTTTGGCCAAAAAATAACACTAGCATGTATGTTTAGGACGAATGTAGCGGTAAGAAGATGTATAGATTGATGTTGGGCAAGTCACGTTTTGAATTTAAATTAACTTATAAAGACCCTTTCATAAGAGCAATACGATTTGATAGAACAAGTTAGAAGAGAAAAGAGTACACATCCACAATTGGCATGGCGTAGTGTAGTTGTTTTAAATATTAATTCTATTAGAAATAAAACGATACCAATTTGCACTGATACCATTTGTTAGAAATTGAGCCAATTGTTATAAATATTAAAGACGAGATATATGTAATATGAAGACAACAATCATAAGAACACAAGGTTTACGTGAAAACCCAAAACGGGGAAATCACGGGCAAATGCAGAGAATTCATTATATAAAAATTAAGAAGTTACAAAAGTTCTTATATAATAGCTTTTCTTAAAGACGTGGGGGTGTGATCCGTGCTATTTTGTACTAAATAACCCACTCCCTAGCTTCTATAATTCTATTGCTACAAATTTCCAATTGCACTTCCAATGTTGGCTAGAAATCTAGTAATAGAATTCGTGTTGTGGATTTGATAAAGGGCTACAAAATGTTTTTCTTTTTATGTGTGCGTGTATCAACTGGTTTCAAATATTTACTATTTTGAGCATGGTCCAAGGGAGAAAAAAGAACTTGTTTTAGCTGATAAAACTA